AGAAGACCAGAGCAAGGCTAGCTTCAAGATGCAGTGCCTCAGGACTCAGAGTCCAAATAAGATAACCAAGGAAAGAAAGAGGATGAGAAATGAAGATGAGCTCTAATACCTGGCCAAGATACTTTTCCTCAACATGCCTGCTCAGCTGCACTGGTTGATGCCAGCTCAGCAGCACATATTAAGCTGTATTGGCGGATGAACACACGGGGAAGCAGGGAAGAGCCACAGCTCTGGTAAGAAGAAAAGTGATCCCACAAAGCAAGCGAGGGCAGTTAATAGGCAGACCATGGGCCAAATCCAGACCATCGGGTGCTTTTGAATGGACCCAGACATTTTTTCATTTACATACTATTGCATAAACATTTATCATTTCTGGCACTCCACATGTAAAATTCACAAACTAAAAAAATTATTTTGGAAGAAGAAACTCATTCCCTTTGAGTCATTCACTACTTAGGTTTACAGTGACTCGATGTTGACACCAAATAAACAATTGATGTTCATAAAAATATTTTCATTAGGTGAATCAGACTTGGATTTGTACTTTAAAAACAAAGAATTGTACAAAAACGTCACTTAGGTTTCAACCACAATAATGTCATAGAAAATGCCCAAAAGATCATAAAAGTTTGCACTCCTAATATTGTCTTATAAATGGGGCACTCACCAAAATACACACATTTTTTCCATTTTCTTGCTCAAAGTAGCTATAGCGATATCCTGTTCTAGCGTCATCAGAACTACTTGTTTTTTACATAACTACATTAAAACCAGCATCAATGCATCTACTGCCTGGAGCATTTTCTAATTCTAGCTCAATTCCAACTAGCATGAACATCAGCTGCCCCAGTAATTTAAATACAAGACTGAAATGGAGCAGTGTGTTATGTACAAAGAAGCAAAGCACAGAAATGAACAATAATGAAAACTTATGAATTTGGGATGTAAGCAAGCAGTCGAGTAGCTGATTACCTGGTAAACCTCAGCTTATCGGATAGTCGAGTTGACTACCCAAATCCCCTCCCCCCCCTTTGGGAGAGCTGGAGCCGAAACTGGGGGGAGCCAGATCTCCTCGCCTGCCCCCACTTCCTGCACTGCTGCCTCTAACAGAAGGCCAGGCTTGCCACGGGCAAAGGCTGCTCCGCATCCTGTGGATCAGCCCCTGTTCACAGCAGCTTGGGCTGGCCATTAACAAAGAATGCTCTGGCAGCAGCCGGGACTGAGCAAGCTTGGCTCAGTCCTGGCTTTTGTCAGGTCCAGGAGCTCCCTGTTTCCCCCGTGTGACTGTGCAGTTTAAATGTCTTGCTATATTGAAACTGTAGAGCTTCAGGGGGGCATAACTCCCAGACCCGGCATGAACCAGGAATGAGTACCTTCCCTTCTTGACTAATCGTGTAGTCGATAACATTTTTGGTTTTGCATTACAGTAGGGTTAACTTAATTGGGGGCTCTGGAGTAGAATTTGGATTGCAGTCATTTAAAGTATGTGCTATATTGCATTGGAAATTTGGGCTCAGACTCAGGTTCAAGCCCACCTCTCCTCTCATCCACTCACATGTCTACCTAACACTAAACAACAAGCACTTGGGACCCAGCTCTTGGGGACCATCCAAGGGAGGGAGGAGGGATAGAGTCTGATTCTCTCTGTGTCTAAGCAGCCGTAGCCAGACCCAATTCAGAACATCTACGTAGTGCACGCTGGACTAGTTAACCCAGCTCCAGTAACTAAAAGCCCAGCTTTACAATACAGCGTGGATGCTTCACCAAGTGCACAAGCCTGAGTCCCAAAGTCAGAGTTTCTACTGCGGTGCAGACATGGCTGGAGAACCCAGTACCAACCCTAGCAGGACAGAAGGCAGCTTCTTCGCTACACCTGTGCGCTGATCCCAAAACTGCCCCTCCTGCCAGTGGCCTCATTCCAAATTGTTGGGAAAGGGCTCAGACGGAGGGGGATAGCAATAGTACTTTGGAGTCACTCCCTCAAGCCCTGACGGACAAAAGTGATGAATGTAAGAACATAAGAGCGGCCATACTGGCTCAGGCCAAAGGTCCATCTAGCCATCTGTCTTCCAACAGTGGCCAATGCCAGGTGCCCACAGAGGGAATGAACAGAACTGGTAATAATGAAGTGATCCCACCCCTATTGCCCACTCCCAGCTTCTGACAGAGGCTAGGGACATCATTCCTACTCATCCTGGCTAATAGCCATTGATGGCCCAATCCCCCATGAATGTCTCTAGTTCTTTTTTTGAACCCTGTTAAAATCCTGGCCTTGACAGCATCCTCTGGCAAGGAGTTCCACAGATTGGCTGTGTGCTGCATGAAGAACTACTTCCTTCTGTTTGTTTTAAAACTGCTATTAGTTTCGTTTGGGGGTGGCTAGTTCATAGGCTATGGGAACAATTACATGCCTTTATCCCTAATTCACTTTCTCCCCCCGCCATGATTTTATAGAGCTCTGTCCTATCAAGCACCCAGTCTCCTTCATCTCTCTCTTCCCGTGGCCTCAGCGCTCTCGCGGCCCCTTTTCTGAACCTGTCCCAGGGACAAAAGAACTTTGGGGACGCCCCTCCCCCCCTGCAGGCGGCGCTGTTCACGGCGGGTGCCGGACTGCGCGGCTTTTTAAAAGCGGGTGAGCTACTAGGCCCATTTTACAGAGGGGTAAACTGAGACAAGGAATGGTTAAAGTAATTTGCCTCCTTGTTTATATGGTGAGGCATTGCCAGAAGGAAGGAAGCTGAGTTAGGAGTGAAAATAAATCCATTTATCATAGATAGGGACCTGATTCCAAATCCCTCAAGCTTTAGAGAAGTTTGGAGAAATGGTCTAAAATAAATAGGATGAAATTCAATACGCACAAATGCAAAGTTCACCACTTGGGAAGGAAAAACCAGCTGCACATGTACGCCTTCCTAGGCAGTCATTTCCCATTTTGTAATGCGGGAAGGGATCTGTGGTCATAGATCACAAGCTAAATATGAGAAAACAGTGTGGTAAGCAAGACACAAGAAGTAATTAATCTGCTCTACTCCTCACTGATTAGGTCTCAGGAGTAGTATTGTCTAATTCCGGGTGTCCCATGTCAGGAGAGATGTGGAGAAATTGTAGAAGGTCCAGAGAAGAGAAAAAAATAACCCACAAAAAGACTGAAGATCTAGAAAACATTGTCTGACAGCCTCGGTTTATTTCTCATTATTTTGAAATTAGCTGGAGTTACCTGGTGTTGCTCAGGAAAGTTGATATAACTGAGGTGAGGAGCCTGAGAGGAGGGAGGGGGAAGGGAGCCCGAGCCAGCCCTCCACTTCCTTGTCCCTCCGCCAGCTTTAGTGAGTTACTGTCCCCGCTGCTTCCCCCCCCGTGTCTCCCCCTCCCCCCCGCAGCATTTTTACTCTCCCCTCCCGGTACCAGCCTCCTCCGGCCTCGCTGGTGTTTGAAATGCAGCGGTTACAAAGTATTGCGCAACCAGGCTCTCCCTAGCATGGGCTCCCAAACGGGGGGGCGAGGCGACCCAGCCCCTCCCCCCCGACAATCCCACTCCAAGTTTTGCTGCTATTTTTTGGGCGGGGGGGGGCAAGGAGTTTCTCAGAAATCAAAAAGGGGGGCGTGATGCCAAAAAGTTTGGGAACCACTGCCCTAGCAGGAACTGCCTCTGCCCCATGTCTGTACAGTGCCCAAAATGATGAGGCTCCAGCGCGGGGGGGGGGAGAGAAGCCCAACTCTTTTCCGTTGCAGGTTTTGGTGCTTTCTGTCACCATGCTCCCGATGTAGGATGTGTTGTAGCCAGGTCTGCTCCACTTAAAAAAAACCTCTTGTAGATAAAAGAAAATTTAAAAATTATAGAACCTTGCTTTTAGGCAGAAAAATAAGTCCTGGCGCTGGCTTCACTCCAGCTGACTTTGAAATGTTAAGAACTTCAGCTATACTAGTAATCAACTTTCATGTGTAAAAACCATTAGTTTTTAACATTGGGATTTTTAAAAGCACTCACTCAGCATTGGGTGAACTCTGCTATTATTGAAGTCAGTGGTCAAATTCCCATAGACTTCCCTAAGACCAGTATTTGGACATGGAGTGTTTCTGACAATTCTCTACTAAATGGTTTGAGAGAGTAACTGTTAATCACCTTTGCCATGAGGGGAGTGATATGAGAGCAAAATTATAATGTTTTACACTCTACACAGAATATATGAGTACAGTTTGTATTGGTACCAGTCCTTTCATAAGAATATAAGAATCACCATACTGGGTCAGACCAAAAGGTCCACCTAGTGCAGTATCCTGTCTGCCATCAGTGGCTAATACCAGAGGGAGGGAACACAAAAGATAATCCTCACATGATCCCTCTCCTGTCCCCCATTTCCAGACAAACAGAGGCTAAGGACACCATTCCTACCAATCCTGGCTAATAGTCATTGATGGCCCTAACCTCCTAGCTCTTTTTTGAACCATGTTAAAGTCCTAGTCTTCCCATCCTCTGGCAAGGAGTTCCACAGGTTGACAGTGTGCTGAATGAAGAAAGGACCATAAAAACTCTGATACTAGATCTGAATGAAAAAACATGATTATGTTCCTTTCAATGTCTCTTTCTTTGCTTCTGTTACATTTTGAGGTAGTTTCTGTGAAAGACGTTATACAGTAGGGTCTTATTTTTAAGTATTACCACACTGGGGCTATGTCTACACTGGCGGCTTCTTGTGCAAGAACATCTTGCGCAAGGGTTCTTGTGCAAGAAGTCTTGCGCAAGAAAATGTCCACACTGCCATGTGCAAGCTGTGCTTTTGCGCAACAGTGCCCATAGCAGTGTGGGTGCTCTCTTGTGCAAGAAAGCTCTGATGGCCATTTTAGCCATAGGGCTTTCTTGTATAAGAAATCCCTGCTGAGCGTCCACAATACCCTCTTGTATAAGAGCTCCTGCGCAAGAAGGCTTACACCTGTTAAAAAAGAGCATAGCTCTTGTGCAAGAAGCCCTCTCTTACCACACCGTACTGTAAATTTCCTTGTGCAAGAGCGGGCAGGCAGTATGGCTGCTCTGCGGATTCTTGCGCAAGAATGGCCATACTTGCGCAAGAAGCTGCGAGTGTAGACATTGCCTTACTGATTTATTTTAGGTCATTAAGGCTTTCAGCAGCTGCCATTATATTCTTTCAGGAATTAATAAACCAATGTATCTGTAGTGGTGGCTCTATTATTCAGTCTACTTCAAAATGGTCTAGCTATTTACTCTTCTTAGCATATGCACAATGTGCCTCAGGTGACAGAGGACCAGGATTCATCTTCATTCATTAAGTTTGGTCATGTGGTTGGATCATTAGTAAAGCTCTGCCAGTCTCCTTATATCCACAGCCCCTGTTTGTGAATAGAAGATTGGATGCAGATACTATTTTGTATCTGTGCAGGCCTCTAATCATTAACTTTCCCAGATTGCATCAGGTACTGAGGGGGAGTGCAACACAAAGGCTGATCCATGCCACCCACCCATGGACTGCTTGACAGATTCTATAATTTCCATTCTTATTGTTCCATTTTATTACTAGGAAAGAGAAAGACTATCTGAAAATTCCTATTCTGCTCTAATGTAACCATCTTTCTGTAAACAATGCTAAATCAAGCCATTATCAGATCAAGTAAGGGGAAGTGAAGACAGCTCTTCTGGTATTGTTACAAGAATGGTCAATCTGTGAATTGCACAGTTGGAAACATGATCTTTCCATACATCTTTCTAAACAGTACCATGACTGAGAAGAATAAACGTAAAGTAAATGTTCTGAGCCACCTTGTGGCGAGTGTGTAGCATTTAAGAAGTTGAAAGACAAGACACTTTAAAACTGGAATTTTTAATGAAAAAGCTATTATAGCTTGAGAGCCACTGTCATGAGAAAAAGTGTGAATATATTTCCTCTTTTAATAAATGTATTTACAATGGAATAAAAAACCACATATGTAGAATGCTAATTGAATCTGTTTATCTGCTAATAACGCAATCAGTGTATTATTTCTCAAATATAATTTCCTAGTTCATCCCCAAAAAGGTATCCTATGAGTTTTTTTCATCCTATCTCTACTTATTCTAAATGTTAAAAATGTACTAAGAATTCTTAAATCCCATGAACTATTGCTTAATTAATCTCTAGTCTAATATCTTCCTATAATAGCTGCTTTGTCTTCTCATATGCCTTTTCTTATGTGTGATTGCTTTTAACAATTTCTTTATCACTTGTGTTGCTGTCTATGCAGTCAGCCAGTAATTTCAAGAAGTTAGAGCAATTGCCAGTGTTAGCTGTGTTCCTGTGGTTGTGGTTTTAATTGAAGTGTCAGTAATTGATAATTATGATTAAGATCCCAATGTTAAGTGCAACTCTTTACATGCAAGTACAAGTTATGATATTTGACAGTTAATTTTCTACTGTATTTGTGTGTCATAAGGTTTGAAAATGATGAAGTGTTTATATAAAGCTTTGATTACTGTTGACTACTTTAGGCCAAGTTTTTTATGGGTGATTATTGATTTGAGGGTTTCAAAATTAGATACCCCAAAATGAAGCCTCATTAGAGACATGAAAGTTTGGTTAATTTTTTAGTAGTAGATTATATGTTCTGATAAGATTATTAGGCTAATTTCAAAGAGCCAGCTAAAATAAAAATACCTACTTATCTGAAAAATGATTTTGAGCCACAACTTCCATTAAAATGAATAGTAGTTGCAGATGTTCAGGTTTCTAAAAAAGTAGATCTCTTCTTGATATTAATATTTAAACAAAAGCTATTTCTGCTATTAATCTTTACTTTTGTTAGTTTATGTTTAGAATACAAGTCTTTAGCACTCCAATATTCCCTCACAAGCATCACTACCCTGTTTTTACCCACTCTTTAAGGGAAAGCACTGGATGTGTATCTTTTTTGTTTGACACACTTGCCTTGCAGCTGAGTTGAATTCTAAATATGCCCCCCCCCCTTTTTTTTTGAGTAGTATGAAGATCTGAATATATGCATTGCAAACCTTTGGATTGCTGTGTTTCATCAAAGCAATGGCTTGTCAGGAGTTTACTGTGAGTCTTATTTTTAAGTACAATTATATATAAGATATAGTCAAATTTCACATATGCTTGGCTTGTATGACTACTAAATCATTTCAGTATATACATGTTTTTTATAATATAAGGTCTTATACACTCATCAGAAGACTAAAAAATCGAAAGTATGGCAAGATGGAGTTTTGAAAACCACTACTGGAGGAAATAAGGTGAAGAATTCAGGTTTAATTCAGTATCATGTGCATAATAGTACCACTTTTTCAGCTTCTACTTGTGTCACTGGTTCCTTCTTAACACACATTTGTTAAATTTAAAATTCTCCTATTTCAATACAGGCAACCTTATTTGATGACAGAGGACAATGTTTGGAGAGTGTATTTGTTAAATCTCAGGTATTTTATAATCATGTAAAGCTTTTATCCTTATTTGGCTAATAATTTGACGCAGCATATTTTATCTTCATGTGATCCAAAGTTCCCTATGCTTCAGTTTTGTCTAGCTTTGTCATTGCTAATATTCTGATCCTTAAATGTTTAGGTTGGAAAATAATCTGTGACAGATTGTTTGTTTGTATGTCACTATATGTAAAACAGCACATAGCAAATTTTAGTACAGTGGATAACTGACAAATAGGCTTATGGTGGATAATGAATTATGAATATATATAATTTTCACTTCATGCTGTTATGCAAACCATATGCTTAGAATGTTCTCAAATGTATTTAATTCTTTCATATAATTTCTTAAAAAAAAAACCCTTCATAGACTTACCTATTCTAGGAAGCATTACAATTGCAATGTACTCTGACCATTACATGTTTGATTTTGATTTGTATAGTACCTTTTTACATTGCAAGCTTATTGAGATGGAGTGCTGTTTGTTTGATATTATGGAGTTTTTGTACAGCCAAAAACTAATAGACCTATGTAAATAATTATGGTCTTAGGAGTTGCTTAAAAACTTCATTTTTAAAGCTACAGTATTCAGTAATCTGTGCAAATTTGAGTGTTTACATTAGAACCAACACAAAACAATTTGAAACTTAGAGCTAATGCTTGCTTTCATATCTAGTCTGCTCCAGTTGTCTAGGATACAGTGAATTTTGTATATTATTGTTTCATTTCTGTGTTGTAAAACAAATTATTTCAGTATCTATTTGACAACACTTAGGAGAAACTATCATTTTTTCCACTGGCTAGCATACATAATGCCATTAAACAACACTTTTGTTTCTCTGTCTTTTCTAGGTGAAACCTGGAGATGACTTAGAAAGTGACCGATATTTGATCACAATTGAAGCAGAAAAAATAACTGAAAACTGTGGTAGTGATCAGCCAAAGAAAACAGAAGCGCCTACGCTGAACAGAAATAGTTTGAAGCCCAGTGGTTTCTCTCTGCCCCATCTACCTCTTGGCTTGAAAAGGAAACATACTGTATGTTTGTGTTTCATATGTATGTTTGACTTTCATATCCAATTTAAAACACTATTGAAACGTTATAATTTGCACTAGTGTCAGGGAAAACCTATTTTAAATCCTAATTTCCCTCCTGATGGTATATGTCCTGCAATTGTATCTAACTTAGTGTATTTCCTAGTGCTTTCTAGTTATCCAATGACTAAGGCTGTATTGTGGGCATGTAAGTGAGGAGTTCAATTAGAGTGAAATCAAATGAAGTATATATAGACAAAATGTTTGGGTTTAATTCTTAGCAGCAAACTACATTAATGTAAGTATATTGTTTGCATATGTGACTTGTTAAATTCACACTAAATGTCATGATTGTAGCCAGGTTTACTTGATAGCATATTAAATTGTTTAGTTACAGGATGCTAATTTGAAGTATTAATGAGGAGCTCTGAACTTCCTGTGGATGCATTAGTACATATTTTGTTAGTAAAATAAAATAGGTGAAGTGTATTGGAAAGAAAATGTGTAATTAAAATCTGCTCTGCCTTGCATGAATAAGACTAACTTGCTTGGCATATGTAAGCAAGAGTTATTTTAACAACTACTGCTGCTATTCAGGGTACAATTCAAAAGAAGCATAATTTGGGATTGTTCAATAAATGTGTCAAATTGTTTAATGAGAGTATGGAGCATAATAAGTGCCCTGTTGCTTTTTACTGCTTAGGTTCCAAATTTCAAAGCTGATTTATGAATAATATTAACATAAAAACTTTTCTCCTAGGGCTTTCAAGGGCCACGTCAAATTGAAAAGAAAATGGTGCTGATGGAAGATGATGAAGCAGTAGTATCCCATTCATCTAAGCGGTCTCTGTTGTCCTTTCCTTCTCAGTTGTATAACACCTCTCCTTTATTTTCTACTACTTGCGAGAAGGATGCTGAAACTAATTCATCATCACTCTCTAATAATGATGCTTGCACAGGCAGCAATAGAGACCATATGTCTGTCTCCTCACTGGTTTCCACTTCTTATATTGGCATTCCCAAAGAAGTGATACACAATAGAAACCACAGCATCTCTATTTCTGGACAGATGGAATCAAATTGTCAGACAGTCAGTGGTATGTCTCTGTCTCAGAACATCAGGAGCAAAGCACAGATAATAGCACTTCTGAAATCCAAGCCAACACAACTGTGCAACGATCAAAACTCTTCCGAAATCACTGAGTGTTGTTCTGGATGTCAGTTGTCAGAAAGCAGAGGAATTTTATTGAAACAAAAGAGTGGAAATGTGTCTGCACATATGGATATCTCTGACAGAGAAAGTACCAAGAATATACAGCACCAATCAACTACAGAGAAAACAATAACTAATAGTTGGGATGTTTATATGTTGCCAAATTCAGCCAAACAGTCTTGTGATGAAGAAGTCACAGAAAGGAGACATGACAAAAAAGCAAGTAATTTAGGTTTGGATTTACAAGACCCTCAAAACCCAAAGGCTTCACATTTCATGGCAGCCTTTGTGCAGCCTGTTGAAAAAGGGCTAAAATACAATTGCGAGAAACAAACAGATCATGACAGGCAATACAGCTGGGATTGTAAAACAGCTTCTCAAGCATCTGCATCCCGTGGAAGTGATTGGGAAACTCAGCTGTTAGCCATTAATGAGAGTTCTGGCAAAGACCAACTGAATCCTTGTGAATTACCTGAATCAAATATAAATAAAGAGAGTGACATTCAATTTGTCTCATCTTCAGAGGATGTTTATACTAGGAGCACAAATGCATCCATTATCTTTGAAACAAATATCCCCAAATGCCATGAACATACTGTAACTGAGCATCTTAAAGATTCAGAAGTTTCTTCTGCTCAGTCACAAAATGGACTTCTGCCAAGAATAGATTTAGGAAGTATAGTTAATGAGTCTAGGATTTCTGGTCCTGAAGCTGTAAGTGAGGAATTAGTTGCATGCGGAGAAATTAGTGATCCAGCTGATCAGTTTATGGAAATTAACTTCAATCTGTCAGAAACTTTTGATTTTAATGACACACAAGATGAAGTAGAATGTGAAAGTAACATGCTTTCCCAGGGTTCAACCTGCTTGACAATAGGAGCTATGGCACAGAACAGTGAGAGGAGGGTTCATATGAACTGTGGAGTAATAATACGTAATAATGAAGAAAGAGTTGTCAAATATTCAACAATTCTGAGGGAGAGAGATGACAATCAGACCAGAAAGTCTCTGCAATTACAACTGTGTGATAAATCCTGTGAATGTTTTGACAAAACTGTGAAAGATGATCTAACTCTTTCTCTAGTTGAACTGGGAAATTCAGAGAGTAAAAACATTGGAGAGATGAATGCGAGTACATTAAATATTGAAGTCACTGATGATAAGAAAGACCAGGTTTTCTCTCCACAGTCTACTGTTAGAGACTTGTTAATCGAGAATAAAAAGTGCTCTGATGCTTTTGTGAATGGTGGAGTCAGTAATTATGAATGTGATACTAGAAACAAATTTGAGAAAAATGAAATTATTTCATATATTCCTACTACTTTACAGACTTGTGTCACGGACAAAAATCCAGAAAAAGATGTTCTACATCTCGGAGACACAAACTCCCAGGATAGTCCTTTAGAACATTACTTGATGGCTAGTGGTGATGAAATTATACCAGTGAATCCTTTATTGGCCTCACCACCAAAGGTTGGCAATTCCAGTGACCCATGCCAGTATATTACTGGTAAACACTGTACCACATTTGATACACTAGATAAAGAACATACTCAGGTTTCCAGAACTATCACTTATCCTTTAACAAGGGAACATATGTCCTCAAAGGAAGACAGAATGTGTGAAATTGAGTTTGAAAATGGATCAAGCATCATGCCTTCAATTCATGATGCCATGGAAGGTAAAAGAAGGGAAACCGATTTCCTGAAACACATACCTCAAATTGATAATTCTTCAGGACTTCCTGACTTAGTAAATGGCATTACTCTTTTAAGATCTCTGACTGAACATACAACAGCATTAGAAAGCTTACAAATGATGGAGAAAAATAATGGTTTGCTGTATCAAAGAGAAACTACTAAAGAGAAAAGTGAAACAGCTGAAGAATTGGAAGGTTAGGTCAAATTCCAGTTGACATTGGATTATAAAATTAATTTTTAAATATTTGATTTCAATATTATGGGAAAAGAAAGCAGCCAGGTTTAAACACTAAAGACTTAATTCTGCTGAGAATAAAAGTATTTCCAGTTAGAAAACTGAATTTTGGTATGAGTTTTATATGATCTACAGATGGGGTCTTATACTTTCCACAATTATCTTGGCATAGATAAGCAACTTTTTTTAGTCTAGTCTCAACAGAGGAGACAAGGATTGAATGGGCATAGGAACTAAACTGCCTTTCATTCTTAAGTCATCATTTTAGGTCATGTTGAAACACACTGCGGGGGAAGCTTATACTCTCACTTTGTATTAAACCCATTTTGTAGTTAAATTAGAATGCTTTGGTTTCTAGAGGTGCTAGTCATCATTTCACTGATACTGAAATTCACAATCAACTGTAGAGAAAAAAATTAATGTAGGGTCTGATCCTGCATCACTGAAGACAGTGGGATTTTGTTATTGACTTCAATACAGTAGGACTGGGCCTCTTAAGGAATATAAAATGAGTTTGAGTTTGGTGGGTGACAATTAATTTAGCAATCTGTAGGGGAAATTATTGCATTAATAGTGATTCAGCAGAGTGTTATCCTCCATTATTGCTTGAAAGTTGCAGGTTGACTCCTGCCCCAAGCCAGAGAATGCTGAAGCAGCCAAAAATAAAAGGATTGAAGATGAATTACTTGTTACAACTGCAGAAGAGAAAGAGTGACAACTTTTATTGCTAATTAGCATAATCATAATTACTAGCTACAGTGATACCTCTTAGGTCTGGTCTTTAGCTCATTGAAGTTTTACATGAACTTCAATGGACTTGAAAGTGGGGGGCCGTAACATTTGAGTCGGTGTGGTAAACATTTGACTTCTCGTCGTGTTTTTTTGTAAGAATTGAAACTTGATAAAAGTATAATATTAAAATGACTGAAAGAAAGTTGAAAACAACATGATTATGGGCCAAATTCTGTTACTAATGCATTGCCATTGAAGCTAATTCAACATTATTAAGATCTAATAAATTTTTAAAGTGAGCAGCACAATATGTGAAGGGAGAATAACATGTAGAGGAAAGTTGGTTTATTTTGTGAAGACGGCTTCTTTTCATTCTGAAATTTAAATAAAGCGTTTTCTATGTCAGTTGTCATTTGTGTATAAAAACAAAGATTTAAAATAATAAAAATAATGACCCTGCCTATGTAATAGAAAACATACAAAAAGGATCATTTCTAAAAATTAGTGGGAGCTGAGGAAACTAAGAAACTCTTACAACTAAGTGAACAATGTAATTTCTGGAAAATGTATAAGCAGACAGGAAAATAAATTGTATATTCCAGTTTTATTTTATGTTTTCCATTCTAATAGTAGACACTGATATGGATTACTCATTGGTGAATTAAAGATGCTAATTTAAAATGTCTAAATCTGAAAAATTAAGATGCAAGGCATAATCTTAAAAAAAAAAATTATGTAAACTGCTTTAGCAAATATCAAGCCTCTAGTGTAAAAACTGTCCCCCAGCAAAACTGTTTACGCTGAAAGCACTGGATTTTGTGTTACTTTTTAAAAAGATGAGTGTTTTGACACTGGATTAATTCCAAAGATGTTAGGATCTTCTGTCAAATTTTTCTCTCTTCCTATGCGAAACATTCATATACTTGTTTTGATACCAAAACTACATGAAGAAAAAATTAATAAGGATCTCATCCTTTAAGGACTTAAACATTGGCAACATCTCATAAGGAAAAGTTAAATTTTCAGGGATTAGGGTATTATGCTGGAATGTTGAGGATTTTTCTTTATGACCACAGTCAAAGTCATAGTCCTAGTCAATTTTTCTTTATGACCATAGACAATAGTATTAAAAAATGATGCTCTTTCAATGAAATAACAGCTCCAGAAGACCTCTTACAGTAATTTGTGGATTGTAAAGTGTGTTAGTCATTTATCAGCATTTTTGGAATGATATATGTCAAATTGTTTTATACATGCCACTGACATAAGTGTGTGCAATAAGTATGTGTTCTAAAATACCTTATGTAGTTGTTGGTACTTAGCAGCAGCCTTTTTAAACATGTGCCCCAAACTTGCATACCTTATTTTCATGAGTATTACCACAGACTCTACGGGGATAGCTATTTACATGAGTAAGAGTTGCAGGATAAGACTGTAAATTAGGAATGTAAGAGTTTAACTGGCTAACCCTAATTAATAAGCATCAGCTTGTCAATTAACCTTACCGGTTAAACTCTCGGTCACCATGGGCAGCCTCCAGGGGCCTGCGTCACTGGCAAACCATTTAACCATGTAACTACATAAAATTCCATGGTTGCATGGTTAGTGGTTTTTAAAAGGTTTACATCCCTACTGTAAATGTTCAGTTTTTTTCTATTTGAACTGAAATTGTAAATAAGACTTACTATGTTTTTCCTTCTTTTGTAGCTAGGCAACAGTTAGCTGAAGTGTCTTATTCAGAAGATATGCAGACATCTTATTTATACTTTGACTCTCCTGAATCTGTGGTAATTAATTTCATATGCTTGATCCTATGTAAAATAAAATCCGTTTCCATGCTGCTCCTAAAACCCTCTTGATACTTTCAGAAGTCACAGAAGTTAAGCAGGGAGATGGAATATGAGCAAATAGAAGACTATACCTACTTTTAACACAACACATTGTTAACCTGTGGCCTTCATTGTCAAAAGATATTACTCTTAGGCTACGTCTACATTGCGCTTTCTTGCGCAAGAACATATTCAAATGAATATTGCTGCGCCTCATTTATATACTTAATGAGCCGCCATTTTGTGTAAGAGGCTTTTGCACAAGAAAAAGCAGTCTACATTGGTCCTTTTTGCACAAAACCCCCCACTTGTGCAAGATCCGTTCTGCTGCTTATTTTCAGGCAGAACGGCTCTTGCGCAAGAGGGGCGTTTTGCGCAAGAAGGAGCAGTGTAGACTGCTCCTTGCGCAAAAGCCCCTTTCACAAAAATGGTGGCTCATTAAGTATTCAAATTAGGTGCGGCGATATTCATCGCCACACCTCATTTGCATATGTTCTTGCACAAGAAAGTGCAATGTAGACATAGCCTTAAGGTTTAAGGCCATAAGGGACTACCAGATCATCTAGTCCTATCAATATCACTCTCATGCTAAACCCAACAACCAAACTTAGACCATATTACAGCCCCAGAAGACCAGAGAGTTGTGTGTCACAAGCAAAAAGTAGGAGGGACTGAGATATGACAGTGTCCAAGACCCTCACGATGGCAGTTAAATGATTTTAAGGTATATCCAGATAATTCTTGCAGGTGCCCCACCCCCACTCACTGCAGAGGTCAGTGGAACTCTTCCTCCCATCTGATAGTCTGACCAGGAGGAAGATTCCTTCCTGATCCCATGTACAGCAATCACTTAGACGAGAATATGAAGAACAAGCCAGGCAAAGTAAGAAAGAGAGAACATGCTTGGTGCCCCTCATAGATGTTGGAATTTGGGGGCGGAGGCTGCAGCACTCCCTGGCTTGAAGTGGTTCCCATTTTATATGAGGTTTACCATTTAGTTCAGTGGGTCTCAGCACTCCCCCTACAAAAATTGTTCCAATACCTTGATGTCACTTCAGAGTCCTGAGCCTCCTTATGCATCTCCAGTCACAGCAATCCCTAATGCTGAAAAAGGGACAGAGATTAAAAAAGCCCTTCCAGAATACAAAGGACGTAAAGAGCTTTTCCTGACTCATGGTTGCTGACTGAGCTTTTAGGGACATAAGCCCCAGGAATTCTGACCCCTTTCTTGTACTCTCACAAGCAACCCTGTTAGTCTAGTTCTCTCACAATTAATTACATTGTTTGCCCCCACAATTGCTATTGTGAGTCTGTTCCAGAACCTCACCATCTGATGGTTAGAAATCTATTTTGCAGCCTTCTAGAACAGTTGTTTTCAGTCTATAGTTTGTGTACCCTCACAGTTCCACAGACTATATCTAATATGTCTAAAGAGGTCTCTCCCTTGAATCAAAATTTTGAAAAAGTTGAAAACTACTGTTCTAGAACATGGATCAGCAGAATTGTACACAGTACTGCATACCAAATGAGGTCTTTCTCTGCTGGAAATGCCTCACTTGGTTCAGCCTCAGGATATATTTGCCTTTTTCACAGTTGTATGAATGGTTTGCAGTGAACAACAGATCCACGTCTCCTATTGCTTCCAACAGATGAGCATAAAGTTTAAACTAGAAATTCTTGTGTTTAAACCCCCTCCCCAGTGCATGATCTTGCATTTTGTACTATATTTTTTATGTTAAGAGCTTATCAGGATATTTAAATCAAAATATCCAGAGTTATATGAGATACCATAAAAGTGGGACATCTTTTGAGGGATAAGCTAACCACTGTATGTTTTGGAATGGTAAGAAACGTCTCCTTTGTGTAGGTCAGTGTTTCTTAAACTGTTCTGTAGCACACCAGTGTGTGGCAAGGCAGTTGGAGGTGTGCCATGGAGAACAACAGAATTCAAAATTGCCACCCTTAAAAGGGCAGGCGAATTTTCTTTCCCTCAATAACTTTCCCCCAGCCCTTTATTCAGTAATTATTTCTTACATGGTTTCTTAACATCTTCCTCTGGAGCATCTGTTTACTTCTAGAAGAAGGACACAGGACTTAGATAGATCACTTGCCTGATCCAGTGTGGTGATTCTTATGTTCATACTGAGTTTAATTTTTTCTGTCCTTCCTACAATGGTTAATCTAAGGTATTGGTAGGAAAACTTAAACTGCTTCAGCTTTCTTCTATATACCATCTACAAAATGTGTGAATATGTACTTTGAAATAGTTTAAATATTGTTTGGAAATTACAATGGGGGAAGCTGAAGAGCAAAATTATAGAATAGAAATTTTTAAGAATAATGGCAGTCATATTCTCCACTTTATAGAAGACGACATCTGCCAGAAATATCTTGAAATCTATATCCAGGTTAAATTCAGAACTTTCTCCAGGAAACAGGTTTCCAGCCAGAATTTCCTGCAAATTGACTATGTACAGATTAAACGATTGTACTGACTGACTAATTTATTCCTGGTGTTTTGTATCCAGCAATCATCTATGAACAATGACTTAGAGAAATCTATTTCTGCTCACTGGCCCGGTAGTACAGCTAAGAGAATTTTTGACTACCAACCAAAGGTACAGTCTATAAAGTTTAAGTGCTAACAATACACTATTTAAAAATTTAAGATAATGGTTCATCATTTTTAACAATTCTCCAAATAATGAAATTTTTAATATTTATTTTAGGCCTTCCCACTTGTTTTCCTTTTACTATATCTTTCTGTATGCAGTTTATTATGGATTACAAATTCATAGTCCATTAAATGAGACACGGTGGTCACAATTTTCTATAAAATTAAAAATAAGGATAATCATTTATTATGAG